AGGCAAAACAGAGTGAGTTATGGGTAATTAGAAAATAGAGAATACTGTGGATTTAGTTGCGTCCTTATAGGCCAGGGTGCGTTCGATTCTTGATCTTATTCTAGATTGAAAATAACTTTCGGGTTTTCCAAAAAAGAGCTACTCCATCGTTTCATAAGTAAAGTGTGAAGAAGAGCTCCCGAAATCGACCGTCGGTAAGCTGTCGGCCGACAGGCTACCGACGGGTTGCCGACAGTTTTCTAAAACAAAAAGTTTGCTGTAGAATACTGCATGCGCTCAATCTAAGGAGCTTATTTTCATCACTTTTCGGGGATTAGGAGAATTTTCTAACATCTGTACATGTATCTCTCTTCAATTTACATTTTAAAACTACTCCTGTGTTTGGTTTTGCAAGGAAATAAGAAGGATAGTATCTTTCCTGCTCAATCGATTTTATCATATTATTTTGTTCTAATTCGTCAGTTCTCGTTCTTTATCGTTTTAAACATTTTATACACTGCTCTTCAATGTTTTTTATCCCCAGTCTCCGCGCTTTCGTAACAAACCACAAGCATTCTGGGTAATCAGAGCTGCAGATGTTCTTCCTCCAAAACCCTCACGTCGACTGTTTATAGGCAGAAATCGGTGGATTTATTCTCTTGTGGCTACACTATCAACAGGAGACAACAGCTTGACGGTTTTCTTCAGGTAGTAATTTGTATTGGAGTTGGGGTCTATCTGAAAATGATTGAAACACGAAGACGTGAATAGGAGGTGGACCGAAATTTGTCAATTGAGTCAAGAGAGTGTAACTCGCTTCACTGGACCATTGGATTTTCACTAGTTTCTGGAGTAGTTTGGCAATTTTACGAGCGCGTGAAAGGTTGTGACTTTAATTTTGGATAACGCCGTAATTTTGAAGCGTTTTTGGTGAAGTGCAACGTCTAAAACTTGCGCTGCCTTCGCCGGCCACCACAACATCAGCTTCACTTCCGATTGGGATACTGGCGCTGTTCTGCGTGTCTTCACGCAATAAAAATTTCCTTTGTCTGGTGTTGACACTCTCGGCAATTTTGTCGGCTGGTACTTACAACTTTATGGTCCGTTTGGAAACGGGAAGGGAGCTTTTCGTAGTCACGGTTTACTACGTTTATATTATACATCGCTCATCCTTCCAAATCAAGACGTTTTATTCTACAATCGTGACAAATAAACTTTACGAAGAAAAGGTTATTTGACTAATTTTTATTGTTTCGTAAGAAAAGGTTAAAAGGTGTGGACCTTTAAAAGTGACACAGGCAGAAACGTGTGTGTTATTTTCATGCTTTACTTTGTTGAGCCCGGCTTGTTGCATTCGTGTGTTTGTGCCAACAATTAATTCCGTACTATAAATGTGGCAAGCACTCAATATCAAGTTATAGTTCACCAGTCTTGGAGTTACATGTGCACTACGGTGAAGAAACACAGCTGTTATGACAGACAGTCAAGGATGTCACACTGTACAGCCGACTCCTTCGTCTCCAAATTCTAACCCATTCAAATCTTGGCGTGATGTTGTTGATGTTGACTTGCAAACAAATGAGAGAATTATGCCTGTGAACAATAACCCTAATGAAGATCCGCAGGCTCATGCTCATCATAATGGAGATGCCTCTCATACAGAGTTAGACTCTCAAATGGCTGAAAGTGAGATCCAACAAAGAACTAGAAATCTGCGTAAAGATCTAAGGCTTGACCTTGTTGAGACAAACTCTGATACTAGTCTTCCTCCACCTAAAAGTTCATGGTTGCTGCGCCTGTTTGAATCCAAGCTATTTGATATGTCAATTGCAATTGCATACTTATTCAATTCCAAAGAACCTGGAGTGTTGACGTACCTTGGGAATAAACTATTTGTAAGTATATAGTTTGGAAGTTTCAAATGACAGTGAGTCCTTTTTGGTCAGCCTCACCTGGTCATACTTCTAACAAAGGATATTTTACACAATTATTCTGTATTAGTATTAGTCTGCAACCATAATAATTTTTGGAACCTTCTCTTAGCACCATCTCTCAACAAAGGAATGAAGTCCAGTCATGAACTTTTCCTATTCCTGTTTGTTTTGTGTCTCCGCTGCTATGAAGACTTGTCTATTTTAGATCTACCTTTTTTGGATATTTTAGCCAGGTGATGGTATAGTCTTGCCAAAATATTACTCTTTTCCCAACATAGTTTGTTGTCTAAATATTCTGATACATTGAACATGCTCGCATTATCTTTCACCTCTATAGAATGAAACTAACAGCAGGTGCTGGGTTTGGAATAAAGCTCTGCCCTGGGGTTTTGTTCTGGGAACATTGATTCACTGCATGTGTAGAAGTGTTTAAAAAGCACCAAAGGTTTAACGAGATGAATACATACTACAAAATTCTGGTTACAAGCCCCCCTGGTTACAGGCCAACCTATAAGTATACTGCTTGTAAGGCCTCCTCCAAACATAAGGCCCCCCATTTATGAGCCTACCCAAAACCCCATTATAGCTGTATGAAGTTGTGTAAGCCCACGACTTAGATGCAGGTTTTTACGGTACACTGTTAGTAGTCTTTAGATCCCCCAAAAACAAGGATAGCAAAAAAATTGAAATTGACATTTGGTTATTTTTCTCAGAGCTTTGATGATGAAGATGTCAACTTCTACTTGCCGCAGCTCATGTAAGTAACTTTTTGTTTCTTTTTTTATTGAGAAATTTTGGAGAACATCCAACTTGAGTAACATAAAAAATAATGAGCTGCTTATATACATGTACATGGTTGTATATAACTAATATCAGTATTGATAATTCAAATACTCTGCCTTCTTAAGTGTCATGGTTAATGGATTTTCACTAATTAGAATTTTGTTTTTAGTAACATGTACATCCATGTGGATGAAGTGTCAGAAGCTCTTCACAGATACTTGGCTGAGAGGTGCAAAAGAAGCTTTTCCTTCGCTCTGCAGGTACATGTAACTGCAATTTCCTCTGTAGTCCTGTTTTCTTTTACACTCAGTACACATTAATAGTATCCATTTACAATAATGTGTGTGAAGAGACAGAGTGAGAGCAATGTACTGTTTTGCCCAAAACGCACACTACTGCTGCATCTCTTTAAATTTGCCATAACTGGAATAAATTCAAAACCCCCATTATGGTTATTTTCCTAACCTGTTATAAATGTTGAATTTATATGGTTTGTTACATTTATTTTTTATGACTCCTCAAACCCTGCAGGCTTCTTGGTTATTAGAAGCATATTGTGCTGATGGATGGCTTCCATCTAAAGAGTATGCTAGAGGCATTAGATTACTGCAGTTGGTGTTGGAGGGATGCAGGCCAAGGTACAGTATGTGACAAAAATGCACAATCTTGTAGTCCTCCATTCCTTCATTCTGAGACCAAAGGGTCAAGTAATGCGACATTATGCAAAGACAATCAATCAATCAATTGAAGTTAGTCTTTACTTATTTAACACAAGTTACATTCATTACAAGTTCCCAAAAATAGCATGGCTAGTCGATTTGGGTGGGAAATAAAGTCCAGGAAATGTAGTGTTCAGACCAAGGGACCCTTGTAGGGACATGATTTAAGGGGAATTTGTGTAAAGCTCCTTTAAGTAAATCAAAACATGCATGTTGCTGAGCAGTTTGAATTGACAGCACAAGGTACAGGGATAAAGCTTATTTTCCATCATGCATTGTAGTTCACCTTGTGTCCTTACAGTTTACTCTTCATTAAATGATTAACCAACTTGTAGGACTGCAATGATGCATTCTTCCCACAACAGGATACTTACCTCAACACACTGGTTATGATGTGATAGTCCAAGAAACAACTTTTTGTACTTGTTAAACAACAATCAACTCTAATTACGACTGTTCTGAAACTTGTAAGAGTTTGCAATGCACTTCAAAGCGGTGTAGACTTTTTGTCATTTTCTATTTTCATTTAAAATCACTATGCCGTGTGTATCAAATGCTAGGTTTAGGGAGGACTTGTTGCAGTTATTAGTCAAGTTATTATTTGTTATTAAAGTTCAACACTTTCTGGCACATCACCACTTCTTTATTTTATTGTTGCACTGGGATATTTTTTCAACCTCAGTGGGACCCTGTAAATCTGGTCACCAACAAGCCACAAAAGTTGGCCATATCAATGGGGTGGCCATGCCAAAGGGGTTCGTTTAATAAGAAAATAACTGACTGAACTTTTTGTTGAGACCAGAATAAAGTGGGGGTAATAACGAGGTGGCTGTATTAACAAGGTTGGCCGTAAGGTGGGGTTCCACTGTATTAGTTTGCCACAAAATATATTGTGATGTACATAAGTGCATCAAGTGTCTATTGTTACAGTCCTATAACTACCTGTCAAATGAATGAGGTCAATGAGTAATTGATTTATTAATTTTATAAGCAAACTGTTAGGGATGGCTAATTAAAAGGAGTAAATGCTTTTGAAAACAATAACATGATCATTGATTTTCTTAACAGGTCACCCTTAAGTCCATCAGGCGTAGTTGGGTCTCATGCATTACCTTCACCTGTCTCTCCAGCAGCCACAGGTGCAACATTAACCACTCCAACAAAGAAAACCCACCAGAGATCAAAATCAGATGCCACTGCGGCTATCACAGCTTCTACACGCCTAATGCACGTAAGCAAGGGAAAGGAATTTTATAAGGCCAGAGATTTGTTGATAAGAATAAAGTGTTGTTTGTCTCACTATGAAGTCACTTGAGGTGTAGATCGCAACATTTTAACTGCATACTGTTAGTGTTCATTAGGAGATGAGGTTGACTGATTAAGTGGTGCAATTTATATCACAAACTTAAGGTGGACTGTGATTGGTGCATTTCAATCCTCTGCTGTTCCATATTGTTCTGGTGTGAAGTTTTTCCCTCAGTGTCCACTATTGTAACATTTTCTTGTTGCAGTTGTGTTTCTTGGCAGCTATGGGCCAGGGTTCCATACTTCCAGGAATTCCAATTCCACTATCCCAATTGATGTTATTAGGGTGAAATCTTGTGTGGATAGTTTCCATGACCTTATGTGTGTACCAGTGAGGGTTTTGATTCACATGTATAAACTTCATATCATACCTTAATGGATAGTGGCTGGGCTTGTGGGTCTGTTCTTAAATGGTGTAGGTTTGGGTAAGGGAGAGGCAAGGGCAAGTCAAAAATCCTTGTTCCTGCATAGGTCACCTAGTTTCACCACTGTCGACTGTGTGGCATCCATAGAGAATCCTGTAAACTGCCCCATTTACTTGGTCTAGTGCAACTGACAGTGTCTGTTAGTTGCACTAAGTGTGAACGGATAGGTCATGTACCTTGTTGTTGAAGGCAGTGGCAAAATGGCTACTTTACATCATGCTGCTAAGGTGGGATGTGTCATATACATGTAGATGTTTGATCACAGTTCCCCCAGCTATTTTACAGTAAGGACCTGACTCTGATGCCTTTACTACATGTATGTTTGTTTTCTCATTATTTAAAGCTTTATATTACGACTACTGCATAATCATTGTGTACTACCTTTAAAGTAATCTCTTCATTGGCATAGAAGAATCCAAAAGCATTCTCATACTCAAAAACTCAAATATTAACTTAAACCTATAAATGCTGTGGTGTTGTAATCAGGCATAGGTGTGATGGGGCTGGTACTGATCAGTATTAAGTCTTGAATTTTAACTTACATGTAACAGATCAGTTACAGTATACATATAAATTAGGTTTTCATTGGATGTTAAAATTTGATACTGTTTCAGTCCAATGAATATGAATCATCGCCAACTGGAGACCTGAGGTATGGCCATGCTTTTGACAGTCGCTGCACCAAACACTCACCAGCCATATCCCCTAATGCATCCAGTCCTGCACTTACTGAGCTGGCTCGAACTCCTGACTGTGGCTGCCAGGTTAGACTACTTACACTGTAGCTTGTTTGTTGTAGCCTTCTTTTAATGAATCTCATATAGCAAAGTCAATGATACAGGGGAACCAGCCCCAGTTTAAGACTACAACAGACTTGGCAGGGCTGTCATTAAGGGCCGTAACCCGTAATACCTGTTGCGGTTGAGTATGCTTGATTTTCCCTTGACGGGAGAAATTGCCTGTTGTTGAAAGAATTTACCCACAAAGTAACAAGTTTGCTACAGGTGTGGAGAGCAAAGGTACAGGTAACTACAAACTTAATGACAGCCCTGCCTGGTCAGCTGACCTAATGTTAAAAACCTGTATCTTGCAGACTCCAAGGCTTGTAGCTCAAAGAGAGTTCATGAGTGCACTGATTGCCGTAGGCAAGAGACTTACATCCCTACCAACCAAGGATCTCAAGAGTAAGTTATAAGTAATGTAACAGGTCTGAAATTGCAGCTAAATGGCACCTAACTATTTGTCCCCTTGGCATTTTTCATTTCAAGGTGAACAAATGTTATTTTTGGAGAAAATGTAAGGTTCCAATGAGCAGTTGTAGTGAAACACATGATTTTACGACTGCCAAATTTACTGAGTACTGCATTGTTCCCCTGGTTTCTTGACCTGGATATATATCATGGGCACACTGGCTAGCTAACAATATGTACTTTGTTGTTGTGCAAGAGGCGTTGCATAGTGGCAAAGAGCAAATAATTGTGCTGCACATTTAGTTGTATTGGAGTATATAAAGAGCCCCCTCCCTGCATGTCTAGTGCATGAACTTTAACTAGATTCCAATGCAGTCCCGCAAAAAATAGAAATAATAGGACAAAGCAACCAAAGCCAGCCAAGGGATTTGTAAGACTGGTGACAAACATGCTCTCTGAGACACAGGACTCTGATATTATGACATAACATTTGTGCGAGTCTCCTTCAAAAGTTGCATGTATACTCTGTTTACTGAGAAAGCTTTGTTACCTGATAAGCAAAGCAATGTCAAAGTTTCGTTGGTCAATATGTGGCTCTTGTTCAGAAAGAAACTGGGCCTTACTTCACAGGGAAACCAGTATGCAAGTAATTGTTACAGTGGCATTATTTTACAGCTACTATCTTTGGTCTCCTGTGTAGCATCCAGACTATATGCAGAATTGTCACTGCTAAACCTAAACTTACCTGCCAAAGTTAGCCTTCCAGTGCATCCTGGAATTGGAGATCATTATGTTGTGAGGATACCGCACACTGCTGCAGTCGTTCTGAACTCCAAAGATAAGGTAAACCGTAAGTGGCATATTGGTTAGTGTGCTGGATGTTGGATTGTTGAAGCTCTGGTCCAGGTCATCCTGTTGTTTTCTGAACAGCCTACTTATAGTGCCGGGTGTTAACTAGGTACTGGCAAATTAAATTCTGAGGGTAACCCCAAGGTGTAAAGAAAACACATTTGGGCTTGCCCTTTGGGCAAGCTCTAACTACATGTACATGTATGATGATGTACCAGCCCAAAAGTCATTCTCACTAGCCTACTAAGAGTTAATCTGTTACAGTACTTCTGCAATTTGAATTTCCACAAAAATCTTCTTAAGAAACTTCACTTGCCCACCAGGCAAGTACAGACAGAATCCATCAGCTCAATTGGAAAATCCACAAGCGCTGGCTATTGGACGAGACTTTCCTTGCACACTGAACCCTGCCAGGGACTAGCAAACCATCCAGGGGGCAGTATGGACACCAGAGATAAGCACCGGCTTGACAAGCTACAGGGCTGGAATTAATATATAACATAATATATCGGTAAATTCTCTTCATGCTTTTCAGGCTCCCTATATGATATATGTAGAAGTCTTATGCACTTCAGGAAATGAAGACGATCCATTTCCATCCAAACAGTTCCAGCCTACGTTACGACAAACAAGGTACAGAATGTTTATAAAAGTATCAGATGTTTGTTATTGGGTGACTTTTAATTTTCCAGTGTTAGATCCGCATGTACTTTTAGGATACTTTGCGTTTTCAGCCCCAAGTTATATTGTATGCTAATTTAGTCAGCCGACCAGCGACCTTTATTTCAGTTTAATGTATTCCAGGCAGCGAGTACTTTATTTTTGTATGTGGGATTAATTTCATTGATACCTTTTTTGTAGATCAGAAGAGCACTTACCCACCTACTGCCGCTCTGACGTCATACAATTTACAGTGAGTGATCGACTTATTGTAGGTTTTGCTAAGCTATTATTTTTACATCTGTTCACATTAATTTCGCGCCTCAACTGGCTTGCAAGAGGTAGTCATAAGTGAACTGTTAAAAAGCAGTTGTGCCCTCTGTTGTCAGGTATCTGGTGGAGATTCAGATGATGAATGCTGGTCTACAGTGATTGAAGATAAATCAAAACAAGATGTAATGGATGTAAGTTTACTGTCTTTCATACTAAGCCAGGTCACATTTATACCCGCTATATGACATATGCTTCTGTCACCTTGTTCAGGGCCCATTTGTTGCTGCAGGGGACATAAGACGGAGACTCTCAGAGTCCCTTAGTGCCCCCCAAGCCTTGTTCAAAAGGGACCCGGAGGATCCTTCAGGTAGGACTCGAACAAATCATTTCAATTTACCATGCCTTTACAGGTGTGTAGGTGCAGTTCTAATCTGGTAGAAGGTCTGTTCAGTTAAGTTTTTGACCCATTTCAGCTGCTGTTCTCAAGGAGCCATGGGAAGAAAAAGAAGCAAGGATTCGAGAAGCTTCACCATACGGTCATGTGCCCAATTGGAATATCCTCTCTAATGACATCAGAAGACGCTATTTTAAGTCACGTGGTTTTGGTCACGTAGTTTACATTTAGTACATTAGTGGATCACTCGTTTTAGGTTGCGGCATGTTAATTGGTTCTGTTGCGTACCAAACGCTCTGAAAACAGACAAAAACCGTGACGTTGTAGCTTGAAATTGTGTAGAGGAACACAAAAAATACTTGAAAGGTATATGTCCCTCTGCTTAATCCAAATAGGGAGCGAGTGTGTCACACGCTATATTGTAGGCCACTCGTCGTGTCAGGAGTTTTTCTTATGAAGAAAGTGAAGTGAATTGGCACACGCAAACAGCTCAGTAACCTTGAACTGAAATAATTAGATACTGGTTTGAAACTTTAAAGATACACATACGAACAGAGTCAAACTCATAAATTCTTTGGCCCATAGAATTCAATCATTTATAGGTAAATTTCCTTGACTGCTATGTTTACAACTGTTACCGATGATCGTGAAGTGTGGAGATGATCTTCGTCAGGAACTTCTCGCCTACCAGCTGCTGCTACAATTCCAGGTCAGTGCGATGGGTTTGTATGGCTGGATTATTTTTTACCAGCGGATCCTTTAATAGCGAAACATTCATGGCTCGTTACCTCCAACCGTGGTAATAAATACGGCGAACTTGCAAACTACATACAGGTTTTTTTCTAAGTTGCATACAGTAAGCCTCCTTTTGCAAGAGCAGAATTTAAAATGATATTGTTTTTAGCAAAAGAAATGACTCATTATAACCTTGAACCCACGAGTTAGTATTTTAAACTATTAAAGGTCATGTTTTGTCTTCTCCTTCCAGGCCATTTGGAGACAGGAAAGGGTGCCCCTTCGTCTAAGGCCGTAAGTATGATTCTACAACTTTCACGACAGTCATGATCGCTTCCACTCTCACCCGTCAAAATACAACCACGCATCCCAGCGTGACTTGTGCAATCAACCTTGTGTTACTTTACGTTACTTGTTCAAGGCTCACGTGACAACTCAAGAATGGGCCATATAACACAGGAAGAAAGTTAATAACATCTGTTCTTAATATCAGATACGCTGTGGTGGTGACCTCGAGTGATAGTGGGCTCATTGAACCTGTGGTAAACGCTGTCTCTCTTCATCAGATCAAGAAACACAGTCAAATGTCTCTCATGAATTACTTCATCAAGGTACAATCAACCCTTTGTGTCCCATGGTCAAAATGTTAATTCTCGCTTCCGACCGTAATTCCTTCTTTCTTGTCAGTTCTGAGAATTTGTAGGTATTTCAGGGCAGTGTCTCCTAGTTGATCAGTTTCCTTACTCTCATTGCGTGTCTGCTTGAGATTGTATTATACTGTTAAGAGAAATTTGATGTCAATCACTCTGGCGTTTAAGAATAAAGGCATTACATTACGTCGCCAGCTCATTCTCCCATATAACCAATCCATAACGACAAGAAAGAGTGGGTCTGCCTCAGCTTTACTTAAAGTTTAGTAAGCCATCATCAGGATTGGAAACCGTTACTAATAATGAATTAAACATACTTGAAACTACACATTTGGACATCGATTTTTGCAAATTTCTCCAGGTGGCGTGCTCCTCTCTACCATTTCGCAATAACTTGTTTCTAGCCCTTTCTTTATTCCGGTGGGACATTTTCTATCTCCTGTAGTAATTTTCTTCTTTCTCTTTGGCAGGAACATGGTGACATAAACTCAGAAGAGTTTCTGAACGCTCAGCGGAATTTTGTCCAGAGTTGTGCCGCGTATTGTCTGGTCTGTTATTTTATGCAAGTCAAAGACAGGTGTGTATTGTCTCCAAGGCCTGAATAGTGCATGTACTCTAACTCAACATACTGAGCTTAGCACAAATACGTTTACACTCTTTTTTTGAATAAGAATATTGTTTTTCCGGCCCTCACTGAATATTCTCATTTTTCTGCCGATTTTATATTAGGCTGAAAATATTCTGGTTAATATTCTTAGATTATTTTGATGGTGTTGAAGTAATTTTGGATCCAGACTGCATGCAATATTATGAATCCTGATATGACACACATAACTCCTTGCAGAAATGTTATTGGATCGAACAAACAGCTTGTGCGTTTTTTGCTGGTTTTTCATTTAGGGAAGGAATAATTTTTATACGGTTTCGTTAACGAACATATAATTGTATTGTATTTACAAATTTTCAACACAAAAAAAAGTTATTCTTTTCAAAATCTCAGCCTTTAAATTTTGCAAATTTCAGCCACTATATTCTTGTAAGATGTATTCTTGTAAAAAAAAAACCAAGAGTGTAAATCACGTTTATATACTTATGTGTCACCGAACTGTTACATTAAAGAGTGGCTTTGTTCTTATCTTAGACACAATGGCAATATTTTACTGGACGGAGAAGGTCATATTATCCACATCGACTTTGGATTTATCCTCTCGTGCTCACCCCGAAACTTGGGTTTCGAGAGTTCGCCCTTTAAACTCACTCACGAATTTGTGGAGGTAACTTTGTTTTGTTCGTTGCTTTTCTTGTTGTCGCGTTTCAAGTATTTTGCCGGCATGACCTCACGTGTGTTTTCACCTTTGAATTAAAGGTTATGGGTGGAATCGATAGCGACATGTATAACTACTTCAAAATACTGATGCTACAGGGCTTTCTGGCCGCGCGTAAGAATATGGACAAGTGTCTACAGCTGGTCGAGATCATGCAGACAGGTAAATGGCAAGATTGATGATACAGCAGCGAGTGATAGAACTGTGTTTCTACTGAGCTCTAGGTAGAATGTAGAGAAAGACGCTCACGTATACATGTACCAATCCATTAAGGAAATGTCCGGCTCTGTTAGGAAGAAGAACAGTCATGTAGCTTAAGTAGCGACTTTACTCGAATCCACTACCACCGTTTGATGCGCCAATTATTGGGCTGCAGTGTAAAGTAAGAAGTGAGAAACAGTAGGAACGAGACTTCAAATGCTGAATCGGTTGAAAACACGCGGAAACTACTTTAGTATTTTCGCTAGCAGCCATTTTCTTTCGTGTCTCTTTTTTGGCGTCAAGTGGTTGGTCGATTTTCTGCAAATTTAGAGAAGTTTAGTGAAGATACTTAACATCAATGTGTTACGGGAGGTCCGTAGTGCAGTTACTATGTGTTATGAATGATCAGTAAGCTGTTAATTCTTGAAGGAATATATTATTTTTCGATAGATTTTCAGCTTAGACTGCTGAAAACAATTTACCGTCAGTTCGTTTGTTCCAACAGTGAGGGTTTCCCGCAAGCGTTACGCTATTAAAGAAATGTTTTTGAGTAATATATACTAAATTTCTTTTTTCTTCTTCTTCTTCTCAGGCTCACAGCTTCCTTGTTTTAACCGCGGTTCGTCTACAGTGCGGGCCATGAGAGAAAGATTCCACATGAACTTGACAGAGGAGCAGCTGGACGTTTTTATCAATGAACTGGTGGAAACCAGCATGCACTCGCTAACCACAAAACTTTACGACGGTTTCCAATACCTCACTAATGGTATTTTATAACAAGAGATACACCTGGCAGACAAAGCCACCAGTATGTCCTTCTTACAGTGGTCGAATGCAAGCTTTGCTTCAAAGCTTTCAGTGTCAAGTTCGGGGTTTTTACCCTGAGAACAGAGAAGGCCTATTGAAGTCGACCAACCGCTTTGAGTGGAATTATAAAAGAGATGTGCTAGTCCAGAAAGGCTATCAGCAATTTTTACACCTGAAAACTGAACTGAGAAATATATCTGCAAAAAAATATTTCCTATTCCAATTGTACAGAATTTTTATGCTAAACAAAAGATGCTGTTAAAATACATCATCCCTTTGAAATGAAATTGTTAAACAAGGGATACGCTTCACAAAAGACGACTAACATTATTTCACCGCTAAAATCGTTTATATGCTGTGTAGTGAAAATTCTTTCAGTACCCTGCTGGTGCATGAACCACCTAAAATCCTGGAAAAAACAAGACGACTGGTCTACCGTGTTTTTTTTTAGAAAAAGAGCGAAGCGACGTCTGGAAATTAAATCAGTGCGTTAATCAAGTAGTGATGAGATACAGCGCGATTCCTTTGCTAATGAAGTGGAAACTTAGAGATGGGTATTAATGAGAGGAGCTTCAGGAAATCCCCGAGTAAAATGTCTTCACAGAGATAACTATAGATTGCTTCCTTGGTTCTATTATCAAGCATTGCAATCAGTGGAGCATTACTGACGCTCTTGGTGGATAGACAAGCGATTCATTTGCCGTAATTCAAGAGCTGTACTCGTCAATTTAATATTAGCTATGTCGGTAATTTATTTGTCACACTCTAGGTTTACGCAGGACAAGCTGTAAAGAATCTGTTATTTTTGTTGTTTTTTTTTAAGTGCTTTGATAAAATAATTGAACCGTTGACGACTGTTTAATCTCTCCTCGCAGTTTCGATTCATAAACAACATATATCGCAAGGCAGTAAGAATTAAGGAAATAATGGCAAAGGAATGATATTTAAACAAATTTCCCCGAGAAATCCTTTAAGAAGTTATAGAGAAACGTGCAGAGAACTTCTACGAAACGTTAACCCCGTCTTGATTGTAGCAAATGTTACTTGGTCAATTCGATGCAGTAAATTTAAAATTTAGTTTTACGAAAGAAAAGGAACGCAGCGAATACGTATGTTAATAGTCTGAAGGATTGACTTTTTGAACTGTAAAATACTATTATTGATTTTGATCGCTGCCAGCATTCAACACTGATAAAGGTCGTTGATAAACGACGCTAAAAGAACGGGAATTCGAATGAGTTACTGTTGCAGTTTATTTACCAAGAACGCACCTGAGACTGTTTTTAGCTGTGAATTTTTCCAACGCCTCTTGAAAAGCAGTACGGCTTCCAACATACTACTTGTCCAAAGCAAGAAGTCTTTCTGTTCTCTTGTGTTTGTACTCTTGCCCTGACCTCGTCTCGGGCCATTTGTATGGTACATTGTGAAAATTTTTGTTTTTTCCATTGCGAAGATTCCTCCGAAAATGTTTGTTTTTCTCTTGTGACGATTCCTTGCGCGGGCGGGTCAGCTTAACCAGGCTCTCTCGGTTCACCCGAGCCGTTAGGAGACGCGACACCGCTAGCTTGAAGCGCGCCTTTAGGGGTGTTTTCAACCTAGGTAAAATTCAACTTAAAGTATGGATAAGCCATGACCAGTCTGATCTAAACGTGCCAGTTAGTACTAACGCTGTTTTAAAAGATCTTCTAACAATCGTAATCAATGTTTAATGATATCTATGTTGTATAGTATTCATGGTATAAGATTTGTATTTAAAGTTGTTTTTTCTTTTACATAGCTGCACATGAAACAGAAGAATTCACAAATACAATTTTATCATTTGGAACAGTTTTGGTTAATAAAAAGATGCTCTTATAAGCCTGTCATGGCTATGTATTCTTGGCCATGTTCTGCGAAATTCTAAATAAGTACCTTTGGCGACGGCTCTTTTGGAAACAAATATGAATTTAAAATTGGTCTTGAATGGTTCTTTACCATAAGTCTGAAAACTGCTAGCAACTTCATTATCCTAGTCCAAACTAACACTCGAAAATACGTACGGCATATGAAGAAGACAAGCTAAGACGCACGGAAACCAATTTTTGTGGAAAAACTGGCGATAATTTTTCCCCCAAACGAGACAATACGTTGTTCTCACAAACAAAGTGGAATGAGTGGAGTGCAGGATTTGATAGAGGAGATTGTACTTGCCAGAACCTGGCAATTGCAGATATGGCTGCCACATAGCTACAGAATTTGTAACGATTATTTATGACAGGTTTCCGATCATCCCGATAAAAACGCGAGAAAAGAGCTGGATACCTCAGAAGGTTTTCCGTCTACGAAAGAAATTCCAGTGGGAAGAAAGGTGTCGTTCATCACAAAAAATTCAGGAACGGGAAGAAATAGAATGGGAATTTTTGGGAAAGGTTCCAGAAAATACAAAAGCTGGCATGGAACAGAATTTTCCCAGAAGCGTTTACGCGTTGTTTACAGTCGAACCTCGCTCCACTAACGGTCAACTCTCCCAACGGCCATTACATCCTACCGGAACGATTTTCGTCACGTCACACACGCTTGACTCGGCCAGGAGATATCAACCGTAAAATGATTTCTGGAAATTTCTGGAACGCGCCCGCTGACGGCAGGAATACTGAATTAGCTGATAATTGTGGATACGCAGAGATTAAATAACAGTTTGTTATTCCCGGCCGTTACATTCTGTACAACCAGCTGTAAGGTAATGACTAACTGGCCCACTGTCTGACTTGAACAGGCAACAAGTTTGAGAAGAACCTCGATTTATGTTTAGGCTGTACTGCTGTACTTCCGCTTCAAAATGGCGCTGAATGATGACAAAGTTAGACTGTTCAACTACCGATTTGCGATATTTAGTTGCCCAGGACAACAGCATTTGCTGACGGGTTTACCCTGGTTAAATATGTTATGATTGTGATTATTATGCCTTGCCAAGCACACAGACAAAGTTTGAGGTGAAGAGTTGGTTGGAAACGGAAAATCCACAAACCGCTATGAACGAGAAAACCGAAAAAACCGAAATATTTTGCCACAAAAACCGAAAAATGGCCTTGGTCATCTCAAAAATGGCCAAAACTGCAAAACCGGAAATCCCAGCGCCCTCTCTTCAAAGACCGGGATGGGAAAACAACTGGAGTTCTAACTAATTTACGAAGGCAGAAACGTTGTTCTGAATACCTTGATACAGGTTTCTGTCATCCTACGGAGGAATACTGTGCACTGTGGCATGTTTGCAAACGTTTAATCGAAGGAAACTGTGAAGGGGAATGTGGGCGCTCCCACAACTTCCTCGACAAACGTATAATCGAAAGCATACGAGAGAAGCTGGACTTGAAAATATTTGAAAATCTCCAGAGTGCAGTTTGGTAGTTTAATGAAATTAGACGAATGAGTTAGCACCCACTTTATTTGTATTTTTAATACTGATTTATATATAGCTTGTGTAACGGATTGACCAAACGACAGTTCCCAGTAAAAGGATCCCATGAGTGAAGCACAATTCTGAGCGCTAATAGAGCATTGTCACACTCAGCTACAAGTTCACGGCAGCAGCCATTACCAGCGCCGAGAAGTTCTCAAGACCTCACAGCCAATCCGTGGAAACGCAGCACAAGTCTGAGTGCTAATAGGTTACTGCTCCACTCAGCTTCAAATTTGCAGCAGCCCATTAAACCGTCTACAAGTTCCCAAGGCGGTGCAGCCAATGTAGCCGGGTCCAGTGATACCTTTGCAGCAAGTGATTGTAATGTTCAATCTAAAAAAAATGCAAAGAAATGACTCAAACAAGTTTTAACAGTGCTTAGTACAATGTAATAAGCTCAACTAGACATGTAGCATTAGGGTATATTGACTAGGCAGTATAGGTGTGGTACAAAATCGTTCGTGCTGGGTTTTGGTTTTGGCTGGATGACAAAAGAACGTGATTGCCTTCGACACACAACAGCTTCAGCCAGTCGTCTTAAGACTTTAAACTGGAAACACTCCCAGTGTCAAAAAGTTGGTTTTACGACCGTGACATGCGGTTGGCATGTGCATGGAATTTATAGTAGCGGGCAGGTCACGGAACATTAAACATTTCTTCTTTTAGAGGTTTCCAAATCTGGGTCCAGCTTCTTTTTAAGACCACTCTTCTATAAATATAAATATTCAGGTAAGTATCGGTTAACATACTTCAAGTTTGCAAATTTCACTGGAATTGTCTTCAATTCAATTCTCAGCAAACAAAGTTATTGNTTAAGTCCCTGTGCGCTATTCCATTTTTGTACAAGTAGAGGAGTCCTCCTGCAACATCAGCGGCAATGTTATCCATAAATGTGCCCTCAATTCCATTGCAGTCTTGACTGTCAATAAGGTACATTAACTCGTTTAATGAGCTTAGCTTTCCTTCACTGCCAAAAACTTCAATATCGAAATACACGTACTGTAGCATAATTGCCATGGGGTCTTGGCAAACAGCTTTGAACTGGACGATGTTTTCGTGGCGTAACTGTGACAACAACGTGGCCTCTTTGGCAAAAGCTTCAACAAAGCCCGCAGAGGACGAAAGCAGTTTCTTCACTACGATGTCTACTGATTCGCGAGCGTTCTGGGAATATTTAGTTCTTAATATGGCACCAAAATGTCAAAATGCGCCCTTTAGCTCCTTCTTTGACCCTGTAAGATTTCATATCTGGAAATAGTTTCTTGCAATCATGGTTTCGGAGAGATATCACTAGAAATTGTTTCAAAATAACAAAGTGTTTGCTTTTCTTCCAGGTTTTCTTGCAGTAATCGGTTTTGTTACACTTGGGTCAAAGGTCATGTTTTTAAGAAGAAGTGCTGTATTTAGTTCGCTATCTCAGTGCTCACGATTTTATTTACCCAAAAATTTTATTTCAGTAGTTTGAAGAAGAAACAATGCTCTTTCAGACCAAACTAGTCATTTTGGGAAAAGCTGTGTACCAGAACGCCTTTTTAGTATTTGAAAATAGGCTAAATGTAGACCTCTTGTAAAGCTGTCTTGGGTCGTTAATTTAGAAAATTCATCAAATATTTTTGTTCTCACCAAATCACGATCTATTTAGCTCTAAATAGACAAGAGAAGTACAAATACGACGTGCAATCAGTTTGTAATGAAGATTTTTACTTCTGAGTTTACGAGCCTCTGAATATGCCGCTCATTTTGGATGGATTTTGGCCGATTTGGGGCATCGAAACGAAAAAATTGCGGAAAAAAATAATTTTTGATTTATCGAACTTAAAACAATATTTTTTTTTAACTAGTGCCCGTAGGGCTTCATTCTGGGCGAGTTTGAAGAAATTCGATTTTTTCGCTATTTCCAAGTCTAGTTGATATTTAGCCTGACGAAGCTGCTCTTAAAGCGCTACAATGACGAAATTCGCATCCGTCCTATCTAAGCCATTTTGAAACATAAACAAGTAGTCTATATGAGAAGAACAATTCTGTTTACTGTTATAAAATATCTCTTTTCGTTCTAAAGATATTCAACATTTTAAAATATGGAAATTAGCCAAGTGATGAAGTCATAGAGTCAACCAAATTTTGATCAAATATGATTAAGAAAGAAATCTCAGCCAATTTGAATCAGAAATGTTTGATTCTTTGCAGTAACATTCTAGTAGATGTGCTCCATAGTATGGGCCAAACAGTTTTGTTACCATGGCAACAGACCCAGGCACCCAATATTAAAGACATTTCTGGCGAGCGGTTTTTGAAGCTGCTTTTGAGCAGCTTGGAACTTGCTTTTGTGTGGCATTTACACGGTTGCTTTAACGGCTTTTATGTTGAATATCAACCTTTTTTGCACGTTAGGTGTATGGAGTGCTTTTTTCTTTGCTGAAATGTTCCGCTTTGCGTTGGTGGTTCGTGCAAATCAGCACGGAAATACTAAAAAGTAGCGTCGACTTCAATCGGCCGGGACGGCGTTTGGAAAAATTTAAAATTACAATTCGAGAATCATGGACGGTCTATACCTCTGCAAATTGGAGAGACTGATTGACGAAACTCTTGAGCACTCCTTTTTTCGTGGGTAAAAAAAAAATAGAGGGGACTGGGACTGAATATTAAAAACCTTATCTCTTTGCAGTAATTTTATCCAAAAAAAACTTTTAGCTGCAGCGTGTTCGACACTCCAAATGGGTTTACCGATGAGGTAAATTACATAATATTCGATTACATATGGAAGCACAAGAATCCAAACCTCAGAAAAACGGCTATAATTCAGTAATCATAAGAACGAGATCGAGGGGGCACTTAACATGTTGGATTTTACGTAATTTGATAAAGTAGTAAACATAGTCTGGGTAAAGCGCTTAGCTGCGCTTGTGCGCTAACGATAAAAGACAATGGAAACTTTCCCAGTATACTTACTTTCCAATGTTGGCGGCAGCCTTCTTTTCTGGTGTAACTATTACATCCAATATCTACCCCCAAAATTCTATCGAGATATAATTTCCCACTGGCAGAAAATTAATAGCACTAACCCGAAAATAAAAGGAGACGTGCTAAATCAAATAATATGGAATAATCAGTTTATTCGAGTAAGCAATTAGTCATATGTTTTTTTTCCCTAGTTGGAAAAAGGCGGCATTGAAAAACTCTCGTGCCTTTTCGACAACGAAAGTAACACCTTGATGCCTTTGAAAACTTTCATGCAGTAATACAACGTCAAGAGTAATTTTCTTCAGTATTACATTATTGAAATGGGATTGTTAACTTAACTAAAGACGATAAACGTTATTTCACCGCTAAAATAGTTTAATCAGTTACAAGTTGGTGTATGAACCTCTTAAAACCCTGGAAAAGGAAAGACTGCTGGTGTCTGCCGTTTTTTTAGAAAAAGAGCGGAGCGACGTCTGGAAATTAAATCAAGGCTTAAATCAAGCAGTCTGATGAGATATAACACGATTCCTTTGCTAATGAAGTGAAAACTTAGAGATGGGTGTTAATGAGAGAGCCAGAAGATTCAGACAAATCACCAAGTAAAATGTAATTGTTTCGAGTGAAATTACTATAGTTACGTCCTTGGCTATATTAAGCAGTGGAGCATTACTGACCAGGTACCCGCTGGCTTTAATTTTGCCTAGTTTCTAAGACCGCTCACCAGGAGGTGATAAAATGATAACGCGATGTGTATATAATAAGGGATACATGAAGTACTTAGAAAGCTAAGTTAACAGCAATGGATCGAATGAAATCCGCACCCATAACAATACTTCTGAATGCCACTAAATTGGCATTCAGAAGTAAAAACTCTAGTGGGAAGAAAGCTGTAGTTCCATCACGGAGATTCAGGAACGGAAAGAAATGGAATGGGAGTTTCTTGGGAAATGTTCCAGAAAATGCAAAAACTGGCAAAGAACAGAATTTTCCCAGAAGCGGTTACGCTATGTTTACAGTCGAACCTCCACTAATGGCCACCTCTGTCAACCAATAATTCAAATTACTTCCCACTGGATTGATTTTCGTCACGCACATGCTTGACTCGGCCCGGAGCTGGAGAGGTCATGTTTTTCACATGGTTTTCACAGGGATTTCACCCGGATTTCACATGCATTTCACAGGGTTGCTCTCAGTAGTGTCAAACGTGAAATGATTTCTGGAAGTTTCTGGAATGCGCTGACAGACGGAAGTAATAGTAAGCCGATAATTCTGGATACGCAGGGATTAAACGACATTTCGTTTAATGGTATTTGCAATTCGCGGCTGTTAAATTCTGTAACTCCATCGAAAATGGTTTGTACAGCCAGCTGTAAGGTAATAGCTAATTGGCTCCCTGTCTGATTAGTTCTGTAACTGTCGAGAACAAGCAACTAGTCTGAGAAGAACCTCGATTTATGTTTAGGCTGTACTGCTGCACTTCCGCTTCAAAATGGTGCTGAATGATGACAAAGAGAGACTGTTTAACTACATTTGCGATATTGAAGAACATGCCTTGCCAAGCGCACAGACCGCACAGACAAAGCTTGAGGTACAGAATTGGTTGAAAACCCAAGCTGAACGACGCGTTGTCTTGTTCAAAGACCAGGATGGGAAAACAACTGGAGGTCTAATTGATTTACGAAGGAAACTTTGTCCTCAATACCTTGATACAGGATCTTGTCGTCCTACGGGGGAATACTGTGCATTATGGCATGTTTGCAAACGCTTCATCGAAGGAAGCTGTAAAGGGGAATGTGGTCGTTCCCACAGCTTCCGCGACAAAAGTAATCGAAAGAATACGACAGAAGCTGGGCTTGAAAACTTTCCAGACCAACTTATCAGAAATATTGTGGCTTATAGCCTGCCCCAGGTTTGCCTCCTCTATTCGAATCCAGCGAATCAATGCGAAATCAATGCATGTCCGTATCTTCACATCTGTCCATCGGTGGTTACAAAGACAGCCTGTGAATGCTCCTTGTCACACAATCTCTTAGATCGGCATAACAAGAAAATTCTAGAAAGGTACAACCTAAGTGATAGTCATTTATGGTTTGAATCAGAAAAACTCATTGCGTTTGTACTGTGTAATATATTGCATCCATTTCGACAGAAAGTCTGCAAGAAAGGAAAGAAGCAAAAATGTATATTGCGCTCAAATCTGACATCACCGGGTTCCAAGACAACTTCTGAATTAGTAACCTCAAGAAAAGGCGAGATTTCATCCATACCTCCAGATTCAGGTTCTCTAGATCTTCAGGGAAATAATTCAACTTCACACGCTTCTACTAGCAGTCTGGAATTACTCACCTCAAGAGCGTCATCTGTCAGTCCAAATCCAACCAGTGCCACGACAAAACAGACAGTTTTGCTTCAAGCGCGTCCTACAGAAATGATGTGTTCAAACAGATCTGGCAATGCCTCAACTTCTCAAGATTCCAGGATTATTTCAGAACTGCACACATTAAAACCAGATTCACGCAACTGTTCGGAGCTAGAGCAAAGGAAAACAAGAATGAGACACAACATGAGGAATCTCAAAGGACAGGTGCCTAGCACGAGGCTTTCAAGCAACGAAATGATTAATTCCGAGCTGAGCAATCAGACAAATGGGTTGTCGGCCAGCAACTTAACTTCGCAAGATTCCAGAATTGTTCCAGACTTTCACACTTCAAAGGATGATGCACTCTTCCGTCCAGAACAAGAAAAAAGGGAAAACATGCAACAGAAGATGGCTCTCGGAAGACATTTTCACAGCATGAGGTTGTCGTACACAAGTACAACGCGTAGAAAACAATTCCCAGTGCAATACAGGTAAGGAAAATTTAAAGATTCCTTATATTGACCAAAAAGGAGCTCTGTATTGGAGAGTCTTGATTGAGGTCGTAAGTACAGACTGTACATGGTGAGGACCGTGTTAAATGTTGCCTGAAGTGTCAGTCATATCCCGCCGTCAGCCTGATCCCCGGGCGACATATTAGGCTGAGAGATTAGGCCCGAGGATTAGGCTGCGGGCGGAACATGACAGACATTTCAGGCTATAGTAAGTGTCGATTTCGTGAATTTGGTAGTTTCCAGTCCTTGCGAGACATGGAATGCAAATAACAAGAAATGCTAATATGCGCAGTTAAGGGCAGTTGAGTGCAGTTTAGTCAGCCTCACCTACCTACTTCGTGCTAAGTGGCGCATAAGGCCTCAAAACTCTGTCGTCAACCAGCTCTGTCGGCCGCTGCAATGGACACCTCGCTCCAGCTCCTCAAGCTCTTTCTCTCTTCTTCTCTGCTGTTCTCCTCCATGTTGTCCTAGGTCTACCCCGCCTCCGGCGCCCTTCTGGTGCCCACGTCATTGCAGTCCTACAGTCATTGTCAAATCCTTTTCTCAGCCTGCATTTCTCTACATTGACTTTCAATCCCACATTTCCTGCTTCGTGGGTCAGCTTATGAATGTGCTGTTTGCTTTTAGGATATTAAGGCAATATCATCTGCGAAGTAGAGATCTTCAAGCTTTGTAGTGATCTTTCAACGCACTCAAAGTCGTTGTAGAGTGCCTTCACCATGCTGATCATCTTGGATGGTATACCATAGCTTTGCATAATCAGCCACAGGCTCCCCCTGTGGACTGAATCGAATGCTTTTTCAAAGTCCATGAAGTGGACGCACAATGTGGACTGCCACTCTATTGACTGCTTGATTATATTTCTGAACCCAGCCTGCTCCTTCCTGAGTTTTGAATCGACTCCGCTTCGAATCTTTTCGATCACAGTTTTCCCCATCAGCTTGCTGACGACTGGAAGCAACGTGATTCTGCGCCTCCATTTCCCTGGTATTCTCTCTTCTCTCCACACTATGTTAATAATCTCCTTGACTTTTATGGTGACAAAGTCAATGTCAACTGCTTCTATGTTGTCAATACCTGAAGCTTTTCCATTTCTCAAGTGTTTTATAGCCTCCTTTATTTCGGCCCTGTTGGGTACAGATTCATCTACTTCTTCAGTCTCATCTGGAGGTTCTATTTCAGCTATGCTAACTGGGTTGCTAGGGTTTTCTATGTTAAGTACCTCATTAAAATGCTCATACCAGTTCTTGGTTTTCCTCTCTTTAACATTAAGGATGTTACCATTCTTGTCCTTTACTGCCGTGCTTTGCCTTGGTCTCTCGTTACTCAATACAGTAACTTTAGTCAGTGAATACAGTGTCTTCATGTGCGGTTGGTGAGCAGCATTTCCAGCTTCATTTGCAATATCGTTGATCCATTGTCGTTTATCCATTCTAACTTGTCTTTTAATTTCTCTATATTTCTTTCTGTATTCATCCTGCCATCTCTGTTTTAGTCTCTCTGATCTTGCACCAACTAGCTTCTGCTTGATGGCTTTCCGTTGATCTTTTAGGGCCCACGCTTCCTGACTTAACCATGGCTTGTTTTTCTTCTTCTATCCTAGCACTTCTTCTGCCGTTTTAGTCTATGGTTCCTCCATTATCTCGCTTTTTCGTTCTACTTCTTCTGCTATATCAGTTGGCTCTTCAACTTCTAGCAACTGGAATCTGTTCTTTAGCTACATGCTGAACCTTCTACATTTGTAATTGTCTTGTAGCTTTTGTGTGTCAAACGTCTTCCTAATTTTCCCTCTCACTGGTGCTCTTTTGAAGTTCAATCTGATAGTCGATCTTACAAGAAAATGGTCACTGGCAACATCTGCTGATCTCATGACTCTTGTGTCTATCACCAAGGTTGTGAATTTCCTGTTAACCAGTGTGTAGTCAATTTGATTTTTCGTTTTTCCATCAGGTGACACCTCATGTATTTCCTTGCGCGGAAATATTGTTCCAGTTATTACCATCTCATTAAACTCACAGAATTCTTTCAGCATTTCTCCATTTTTATTTACTGAACCCATTCTGTGTCGTCCCATAACTCTTTTAAAGCCATCGAAAAGCTTTCCTACCTTAGCATTCATATCCCCAGTTGTAATTAACATGTCATGCCTGTGTAACTGCTCAGCTACCTCTTGTAGTTTCGCATAGAAGGCTTCCTTTGTTTGCTCGTCCGCATGTACCAATGTGAGCTTTATATATTTAGAGTAGAATCTTGCTTTTATTATCCTCTCATTTATTGGTGTCCAGTCGATTAAGGCCTTTGTTGCCTCTTGTGACATCATTATTGCTACGCCTTGCATGTGTCGATCATCATCTCGCCCTGAGTATGGGACGGTTTCACCAGTGCTCAGTTGCATTCTACCAGCTCCAGTCCATCGGCACTCACTGATTCCCATAATCTGGATCTTCATCTCCTTCATCGCTTTCGCAACTTAGGCGGATTTTCCTGAATTATACATAGCTTTCACGCACCAATTCCCTATTTTGAGTTGAGTTCTCGGGGTCACTAAAGGTTCAGTGGTTGGCCCCAGGTGCATCATACTTTGCTCGCTTGAGCAAGGTCTCACAGCGGCCCCAAAAGATGATTGGTTTAGTGTGCTTGAGGTTTCGGTAATCCAATGCTGTTTTACAGGGATGGGTGATTGGCCCATCACCCAAACCCCACTCTGGAGGCCCAGGGGCTGTTCTTTTCGGGTTTCTACCCCTCGACCAATCTGGCAAGGTTGAACCTGCCAGGGACAAGAATCCCCAGCCAACATAGCTATTAGGGTCAGTGAAACGCACAAGCCTCAAGGTGACAACCCAAGGTGAAGACAGTTTAGAAGTTTAATGAAATTAGACGAATACTGATTCATAGATATCCTTAAAAATCATGTGGATGAGGAGAATACTTTCTCTTGATCCTGTCCAAAGTTTGCAAGAAGTGTCCACATTTGCAAACATTGATGGAACAGTTTTTCGCATCTAGTGTATATGGTGGCCCATCCTTCTCATAGCAAACTCAAAATCAAATTGAAAATCAAATGTTTTGAATGATTTTCAATGTCTTGTTTTTAAATTTAATTTTTAATCTTATTTTTTTAATTTCACTTTTTTACTTTTTACATTTATTTTCTATTTTTGTTCATCCTCTTCTTCAGTTTTTATTTTTATTTGTGTCATGTTTTTAAATCAATGTTTTTCGTTTTACTTTACGTTTTACTATTTTTTATTTTTGGCTGTGTGACAATTTTCTTAGAGAATTTTTACATTTTTGACCTTTTGTATTTTTACTTATGTACTCTAATAACAGGACATCCTTTGATACCAGAGTTTATTACAATGACGGGGTAATCCTGTATAAATATCATCATTATCATTATTGTTATTGTTATTGTTATTGTTATTGTTATTGTTATTGTTATT